CCATCAAAGAACTCATCAATAAATTAAGTAAAATTGAAGGATATTAATACACAAAAATTTATTTCATTTCCAGACACTAACAATGAACTATCAGAAAGAAAAAACTAAGACAACCATCCCATGGACAATTGCATCAAAAAGATTGAAATGCCTAGGAACACATCTAACCAAGGAGGTAAAGACCTGCACTCAGACAACTGTAAGACACTGATGAAAGAAATTAAAGACAAGCAAACAAATGGAAAGATACACTGAGCTAACTGATTTGGAAGAATGAATACTGTGAAAACAACCATACTGCCCAAGGCAATTTACACATTCAGTGTAATTCTTCTCTCATATAAGTGGAGATTAACTAAAAGCAAGGATATTCTTAAATAACCACAGAAGTTTTATAAAAATCAGTCATTTAACATTACTGGATCTACAGAGCTTATTCTGCTCTAAAGGACTTGCCTCACTTGGTAAAACCTGAGTTGTTCTTCTAGTCTCCATCAGTGTTGATGCAAATATCCCTGTCAGGTCTTCAGAATCAATGATTCTTTTCACACTGATCTTACTAGGATTGTGTGTGTGTGTGTGGTGGGTGGGTGGGTGTGTATTTTATAGCCACTGTTGACTTAAAGCTACTTTAGTGATCTCAAAATGTTTTTTTTTTCCAATGAATTATCAACGATTTAAGAATTGCAACACTCAAGTCAAAAACTCCTTCTTGGAAAAAAAGATAGATTTTAAATGATCTGTGAGAAAATAATTAACCCACTATATGCAATTGAATTTGTTTAATTCTCATGTCTTTTGATATCAGGAGGTATAACTTTTGTCATACTAAAAATACAACTAAAAAAGTATCCTCTGTATCAATATTAACTTTTAAAATGTTATAGCACTAGAAAGCATGTCAATAAAGGTATGCTAACGCAGAAAACCTTGAAGTCTGTTTTGTCGTTACTATTGTTTGCTTGCTTTTTGTCTCGCAACTTGGAAGGCTTTCAGATACACCATAGGTCATTTACTTTATAATAGAACACACTTTTCCCATAATTCTCTTCAAAGCATTTTTGACTTCCTGGTTCCGCAGGCTGTATATTAAAGGATTTAGCATGGGAATCACCACTATATAGAAAACAGAAGCTACTTTGTCAGTGTCCAGAGACTGGTTTGTTTTGGGCTGCATATACATGAAGATGATTGTACCGTAAAATACAGCGATGGAAGTCAGGTGAGAAGCACAAGTAGAAAACGCCTTTTGTCTGCCTTCCGCTGACTGAATCCTCAGAATGGTAAACAGAATGAATACGTAAGAGACGAGAACAATAAGAAGAGAGGAAAGGGTATTGAAACCAGCCAGCGTGAACAGCATCAGTTCTTTGATATCTTTGTAATGGCTTTTACGACAGGCCAGACCAACCAGGGGGACATCATCACAGTAGAAGTGATTTATTATATTTGAATTACAGAATGACAAGTGGAATGTAAGAAATGCCTGGAGGAGTCCCACAGAAAAGCCATACAGATATGTGCTAACCACCATTTGAATACAGACCCTTCTGTTCATGATGATGCTGTAGAGTAAAGGGTGACAAATGGCCACATACCTGTCATAGGCCATGACTGACAGCGTGTACAATTCACAAACCACAAACGTGATAAAGCAACACAACTGAGTGGCACAGGCAGGTAAGGATATCCTCTTCGTTTCTTGGAGGAAGTTCACCATCGTGTTAGGAGTGACAGAGGAGGTATAGCAAAAATCAACAAAAGCTAGGTGGCTGAGGAAATAGTACATAGCTGTGTGGAGCTGCGGACTGATACGAATTAGCATAATTAATCCAAGATTACCTATGACACTAATTAAGTAGATCACTAAAAAGATCCCCAGAAGAAGTTCTTGAAGCTCTGGACTGTCTGTGAGTCCCAAGAGGATAAATTCAGTCACTTCTGAATCATTGCCTTTGGCCATGGAGTGTGTGTAGAAGCATCTGGCACTGTTACCACCAGAACATCTGTTACGGAAAATCTTCCATCTTGTGTATTAAGGAATTAACTCACATTTATTTCATGATGACCCTACTGGAAAGATAATCCTCACTATTCAACGAGCTATTCTCAGATTTCTATCTTGCCTGCTTTGGATTTGAAGGCACTTGCCCCTGGCAGAAATTCCAATACACTCAGTAGTCTGGATGATCCTTAAAGAAGAGAGAATGTCTTGAATTAAAATGTAGAATCTCATATGTGCAAAAATCCAGTATTACAGGTATAGCAGGAGAAATCCTTGAACAGTTAAAGAGACAGTAGCATATTTCAGAGTTATGTATTAAGATGAAACATGAAACTTTTCAAGACACCTCAGAATTAAGACAATCATGACTCTGACTAAACATAATTCTTAGTGTGCTCGCCAGTGCAATGAAGGAAGGGGTGAAATATAGTTCTTTATAAAGTACGATAATATGTCTAAACCAACATGTTTAGTGGAAAGATATTATTGGATTTGTTATGATTGCAGACAAATCTTCTGATACAATGCTATGTGATGAAAACTGTACCATTATTAAAGTGTAACTTCAAAGAAATGTGAAAATACAATTTTCAAGATTCCATTTAAACTAATAAAAATTTAAAACCAAAGGCTTAATGTAATATTCAACTTAGCAAAATGTTGGCCTTACATATTATTGTTTATGTTTAAATTGAATAAATTTAGTTTCACCTTATGTCTTAGTAGAAGGACATTTAGGAAACAAAACTCTTCACAAGTTAAATCAATTATGTAACATGTGATAGGTAACCCCAAATAAACCCACCAAATGAACTTGCAAGGACAGTCAGGGCATTTCTTAAAGTGTAAGGAGGGGATGTTTATCCTTACACATATGAAACAAGGTGGGAATTGATGGTGTGACAATGAATGTTTATCGAGTGATTTTCAAAAAACTCCACAAAAAAGTGTCAATTTGTAGCACCTGTTGGATTTTCTGGGTAAATATTCCCACCATAGCTGATCTCAAGCTACCAACCTGGAGTCCCTGATCACAGAGTTGGGAAGAGATGTTCAGATTACAGCTTTTTTTAAGCTTATATAAGTGCTTTTAAGCACCACTACACTGGTGGAGTTAAATAAAAGTAGGTCAGTATTATAAGCAAAATAATACAAAAAAATGTTTGGTAGAGGACACATATTCATATGATTAAACTATATGATAGACCAGCACTTAAAATTAATGATGAGTCTCTCCCTACAACAATATTCATATCTGTATTTATGAGGATCTTTTCCCAATATACTTATTAATTACAAAGGGGAAAAGGCAATCTTAATAAACATGAAAAGTTGGCTAACAATAAGGTGTCCATCAGACTGATCAAATTAAATGATAGATGATACTGTTGGTAAAGGCACAGGAACATGACATGGGCTTACACGTCCAATAGAAGCGTAACTGTCTTCATCTTTCTGGAGGGTAGTATAAGAGTAAGCATCAAAACTGTTTAAAATAGGTCCTGCCCCTTGACATAATGACTTTAACTCTAGGAACTTAGGAAAGTCATGAAGAGTATGCAAGTGTCTGAATTGTTCTATTTTTACTTACTCCAAAAGAGGAAGCTGTCTAGATATATTCTAATAGTTGTCTAGATCTTACACGGCTCTCCAGTAAGTTAGTAAATGGCAACTTTAAAAGCTGAAATAAGTCTACATTTATTGATATTGAAAAATGTTCATAATAAAATCAAGTTTTAAAAAGCAGCATGCTAAACAGGTTATACAGTGTTAAATAATTCCTGTATACTCACATCACATGTAATGATCTAGAGATATGTATGCAAACAGAAAAATGCTCATATTGTATGTGTCAAATGATACCAGTTGTTCTATGAGGTGATTCTGTGGTCCTTCCTTCCTTCCTACTCATCTTAATCAGTCTTCACAGTCTGTGCTGTACTCTCTGTCAACACACTTGATGTCAGTGTCACATGTATATTTCCATCTTGCATTCCATGTGTATGAATATTGACAACTTAACTTTTCATGTTATTGCTATACTTGTGCTTGTCTGGTGCCCGTATGGATGTTTGAAGTATTCTGAATTATCTACCACTAAAAAGAACTTCATAATCTCAACTTTGGATGGGAAATGTCTCATTGTGTTATATTTCTCAGGTAGATTCATAGGTTAAGAAACTTGAACTACTTGTCTCATTGAAAGCAATCCTCAAAAAAGATGAAACCAATTTACAAAATCATCATCAAATTTCAGGTGAAAATCATGACCAGTTTTTTCTCCTATATTCATAGTTCTGTAGCATATCTTCAGTTTTCATCTGAAATTATTAAATTTTACTGTAGATAGTTTTCTAAATGTCAGCATTTAAAACTTAGGAGTAGGAAATCTAAAAACTATTATTTCAAAAAACTTTTATTCAAAAAAATTTTTTTGATGGCTTAGGTGCATTTTATTGATCTTCTTTCAGAATTCTTCTACAAAAGAGCAAAGTTAAAAACACAATTTTGTTTCTTAATTTTTTTATCCATTGTCTTTTCTTGATTTTATGACAGTAAATTTAGCAGTTGATATTACTGTCACCTTCATATTGATGAAGAAACCAAGGTATACAGAAGTGAAATAAATTGTCAGAGATCTTTTTTAATGCAGCAAACGTTAGACCCAGCTTCACACTTAGGCTTTTAGATGCCAAGGAATCTAGGCCCTTTCCCAGAAGAGCTGTGACGCAGTGACTGCTCCAGCCTGCCAAGATGGGAGGTCAGGGACAGTAATGACAGGTGTCCGGTATCCAGATGACAGACTC